TTATGGTAAAAGGCAGTCAACAATGATAGAGATAAGTTCTTGGATTAAGCACATCCTGTAATAGAACAGAGCAGTTTGAAAAGCAACTTCATCAAACGGTAATCATAAAGGCCAGGGAGAGTATACACGCACTTGGAAGGAATCAGTATGACTCATCGTGTCATCTAGCAAAGACTGCATACTTCTCGACGCCGCATTTCCATTTGCTCAGCATACTCAGCGCGAATATCTGCCAACTTGCGATCCGTGTCTACTCGATCTTTCTCTCTTTGCTGCAAGAGTCGTTTTTCATAACGACGCTCTACACGAGTGCAGAGCCTCTCAGCTACCAAACGCAACTGCAGTTGAGCATCACTTGTTATGCGACTCTGTAGAGAAAGAGAAAGTTAATTAGGACAGTGAAACTTCTCAGCCACATTATAAACCAGTTAAAGCATTCCAAGAGCTCCCAAGTAAAAATCGAAAGCTAAATGGACAAACTTTATCGATACTCGTAGGGAATTTTGTGTATTCAACATTGACCAATTGGCTCCCACTGTCGTTCAGCGCACTACAGCTCTCTCGATATCCCAGGTAGGAATTTGCTGAAATATGATAGTAAGTCGATATCAACAGAACTACAAGTGCTACTGCGAAATCAATACAACTAGGTACCTTTGCTTCAGCAGCTATTGATCTGAACACTTGCTCTGCCATCACGGATCACCCCATCTCTGATGAAATCCTGGGAAAACTTTAATAACAAATGTTCGACATGAAAACAATCAATCTACATAGGTACGTCGGGATGACTTCACACCAACGATAACTGTTCGAATGCAAATTCGGAACTATTTATCAAGGTACCACAGAAAAAAAATCATATCATGGCATAAAATACTAAAGAATCTATAAAAACTACAAATCTATGATGCTACCCTTCAAAAGTTATCTACCACGGTCGCTGTGTGACTCCAACGTCTAAGTATGAAGTTCGTTTGTCGGAAAGTTGATCAGCGACAATGAAACATAACTTACTGAAGTTTGCTTAAAGGAATAATGAGAAATTCCTTTTCATAGTGTATATGTTGGTCAGATACTTTACAGCAACGTACACTTTTTCTTCTTTTCAATTGGTGGTGGTTCCAAAGCAGCCATTATTGCCTCGTCAAACACATTCTTCAGCCCTTTCTGAAATTAAAATATATGAAAGCATAGACACTTCCTTGCTGTCATGACTTCACACTTTTCTAAGACAGCGAATCGTCGAATGAATGCTGCGTCACGGCTTAAAGATTATGAGGAAAGCATAATCACCACTGGAAACTCAGCATCGCATTTCATTACTTCCCAAAATAAGTGTGTAAAACGTACGCAATTTTGGATGTATTGAAAAATGAAATATCAAAAATGAAATATCAAATGAAATATCAAAATGCGAGAACCACGAGAGGTTCAGCTATTCTACTAGAATGCCTTTCTATTATATCTATCAATGAAAACAACAACTGGATGCAATTGAATGGCCGACTGAGCAAAAGAGTTCGAAAAGAATAACAAAATGGCCAATTGAGCAAAAGAGTTTGAATAGACACGACAACAACAACGCATATGAACGCATAGTCTTGCTACTCGACAATCAAATTGAAGGGCTGCAATCAGTGGACAATATCGTGGACGAATACAAAACCTTCACATCGCCAAACCGCCGCGCACGCGGCGAGTGCGATCGGCTGAGCGAGGACGTAGTTATCATTTTTCGGATAACTCTCCGACCTCATCTGCATTTATTATTGTCATTATGTCATTCGAAGTATTTCTGCTACTCGATTCTGGAGGACACGCCTGGAAAGATGCTAAGAGCTCGAGGACGAGCTCACTCGAACGAATGGAGATGTCGGGTCCACGTCCACTGTGAAGGGGCGTGGCCCAGGTTACGGTATCGAAGGAGGCTGGCGTTGGCTAGCCGGGGCTCGGGAGTGATGGTCCAGCCTTGACCATACTCCACCCCATTCTTACGTCCCTATTCCTGTTATTATATGTAATAAATATGTATAGCCTAATCTTGGCTTTTGTATTATTGGGATAACACATACCGCTACACACTTCAGATTAAGGAGTAATTAACCTATAATCTGATATGGAGGTCCCGGGAAGATAGTAAAAAAAACGAATGTAATTTTTTTCTCATATGATTAAAAAAAATCATAAGGGCCTATTGTTTTGAAACACCCCCCCCCTACCCTATACCCATTA